TCGCTCTCTCTCTCTCTCTCTCTCTCTCTCTCTCTCTCTCTCGCTGTTTATTTCTCCTTCTCTCTTTGTTATTCTTTTCTTTTTATTATCTTTCTAAGAATGACGTATTGCAATCTTTCAAAGAGTAACCTTCGATTCGTTCTATCTGCCGTCCCTTGACTTGCCCTTCTCCCCCCCCCTCTCCCTCGTCGTGCTACCTTCTGTCTTCACTGCTAAGTATTATCCTAACACTATTCTTAATACCTAAGGGATGATTTATTGTCCGTGCATGGGCGCTTCTCGAGAATCACTTTTTTGGATCTCGCTCGATGTGCGCTCGAGAAAACAGAGCTTTCGTTGAAACTCGCTGAAACTAAAAAGTTCAGCCGGGACGTCGAGACGCGAGGATAGTGGAAAAGAGATGGGAGAGGATGCCGAAGACGATCGGTGAGCTGCGAGGTACGACGAGGCGTGTGGCGTGCCGGTGTTTAAAAACGGCTGCGCTCTTCGGGACGTTAACCCCGTCTGCTACCGACACCGATTGCCCGCCATTTCGGGGTCCCTCTTCAAGATCCTCGCGGCTGGTCTTGGCGGCGCGTTATCCGGCATCTGGCCGGCATCGAGCTGGCACGGAAGACGCGACAATGGCGAGGACGTGGACGGCGTCGTCGTCCGGGAGACCTCGAAGGCCGTCTCGCGGCTGTGCCGGGGCCGCTGCCGGGAGGAGGCGACGACGGTCGTCGAGAGAGTGGCAGGAAAACGAGGATGCTGACGAGCGAATAGCGACAGTTGGTGCTATCGCTTCGGACCTGCCCTCGGCTTCCTGGATTCGTGTCAGTCGCCGGGGTCGGTGAGCTTTCGCCAGCCGATTCGTGGCGTGATCGCCGCTCGTTCACCCTCGCTCATGCCGCGTTTCAGGTACACCAGGTCCGAAGCGCCTCTGCTTGCGGAGCCGCCTCGTAGCGGCCGCGGCTGCGGCTGCGGCTGCGGCTGCGGTTGCGGCTGCGGTGCCGGTGCTAAATCGCGGTAACGGTCGCTCGCCGATTTCCTCTGCGTACCGCCCTTGGCCCTCGAAGACGACGATCCGTAAGCCCTGCGACCGCACGCGGCCGCTACACCAGCTCCTACCTCCTCTCTTGTATGCTCGTGCCTCCCGTGTGCTGCTCGTTGGCGCGATCGCAAATACATTACGGGTTATAGGAGTATCCGGGGTTGCCGTCGGGATGTCTCGACCGGCAGAAAGATCGCTGTGTGGTCACGGTGTTTTCACGCGCGCACTGTGACGTTTGGGATTTTTTCCCCCCTCGAAAAGTGCGAGAGTGTCAGCTTCGTCTTTGTCTCTTTCCTCAGAAATACACGAGATTATCACGTACACTTTATACGAAACTCGCTCGTCAAGGCGTCAGCACGAATTGTCGTCCTCCTTAGGATGCGACCAATCGATACGAAGAAGTTGCGCGATATTACAGAAGTTATCGCACTCTAAGATTCCGCGGAAATCACAAATCACAAATCTATTAATAGACCGCCGACGTCTTACGTCAACGAAGACGTGTTCTCGATTCTCGAGAATAAAAGATTCGCGTGACAAACAAGGAAAGAGAAAGACCTTTTTTTTTTTCTTTATATGGAAACACCAAATGGATTTTACACTTTTCACGAACACGATTGTCCTCGCGGGGAAACGACGATGATAACGATGACTCCTCCTTTCGTCGCGCGCGATTTTTTCAGATGATCCGCTTAAATTCTTCACTCTCCTCGGGACTTCTAAGTACAGAGAACACGGTGCGATAGTTTGTGTCTAGCATCTTACTCATAGTGCCGGTACACGTTGCCGTTAAGGTGCGATAGTACAACCCGGTCACCCGCAAATTAGGAAACGGAAAAGAAAACGCCACTCTCCTGCGGGAAATCACTTTGCGCGCGGGGGTTTTCTCGGCGCGGCGCTCATCCGTGGTGTTGTCGCCACCACCGCACCGGGGTGCCGGTGCTGTTCCTCGCAGATGGCACGTCCTACGTCCCAGATCCCGGAACGTTTTCCCGCAACGAGTCACGTCCGAGTGCGGGACAATTTGCGAAAACGTGCTCGCACTAAAATGGCGGCGCGGCGCCGTCGTTTCGGAGTTCAGCTCCGAAAATTGCCGATACCGGCTGGGTAGCCTGGCTGGCTAGCTGGCTGGCTGCGCAGCGAAATTCCTCGCGATTGGCTGAACGACGTCGCCTGCTGGTCGAGGAGCTGGTCGAAGGCTATCCACCGGGAGGCTGGCCTCCCGCACTGCGAAACACCGAGAGACAACACGCGGTCGGAACGAGCGAGGCGCGGCGACGTGCCCAGGTTTTATCCGTTCTGGATCGCGACCAGCCTCTGAACGAAGCGAGCGAATCGAATAAATTGCTTGGCACGGAGACCGACCGAGAGGAAGACTTGCGCCCTGAGTCGTGGCAAGCTCGGCTGCAGGAACGTGTCTAAATGGGGCGCCTCGCCGAGCGACGGAGATCCGGAGCTGAGCGGAGTTCAATGCTCCGACCGCGCTAACAGCTAAATATCTACTGGCTGCGCGACGCATTCGGTCTGCGCGCCGATGGAGGAAGAATGCGATCAATCACGGTCCGTCAAGGCAAACAGACTAGATAAGTTTTATCTAGCACTTGTGCGAGTCGTCTCGCAAAACCGATCGCTCTCGTAATCAAATTAGGAGGATCGCAGTCACCGCGCTACGGAATAAATTGCATCGTTTACGCATTACCATTCTGTGATACTTCACTGCAACAGCTACTGGACGCGTTCGACAAATATCGATCACGGCTTTCAAGATACACGGCTTACATCTCGCGAGTTCATTGTTCGTTAATTTTTTTTTTTTTATTCTTCGGATTCGTACTCACTCTTCTCGAAACGTTTACGTTTCTATCTTTATGGCGCATCTGCCATTTAAATCTCGCTCCTTATCTCTCACGACGTGTCGTTCTGGATAAAACGAGTTTATATTAATGCGCTTTTTTCGCCATTTCGTAGATAAGTTTCTCGAATGCGATGATAAGCGAATATACCATAAGGGTCGATTATTATTACGTAAGAATTGTTTGTATCTTAATGTTAAGCTCGCCCGAGTTGTGAGCTTTGCTTTGAAAGGCTGGAAATTACAGCGCACATCGCATTTCCTTCTCGGCTTCCTTGTATAGCCGCACCTGAGGTTTCCCCTACCATCATCTGTCCAACTTATAACGATGACGAACGTCGACATCATCGTCGATGCCGACCATGACTCATTTTTTTCGCTAGCGCCGGCGCGACCGAGTTTCCTCGTCACCGTTCCCACTAATTACGATCCTGATTTAGCCATCAGCTTTCCCTTCCGTCATTTAATTCGGAGCTTCTAGAGATCCAGGTATACAGTCTTTTACATATCCATATATCGTTCCAGGCCCCGCTGGCTGATCGCACCGGTTGTCCTCCTCGACCCGATCTCGTCTCCTCGTCTTTTACTTCGGCTCCCGTCTGCCGTCTCTCCCTCTTGTTCCCTTGCGTCCCATGAGATCCCATCCCCTTAAAATATCGAACGACCTCGTGGCTTATACTTCATTCTTGCTAACTCGTAACTCACTGGTAACGCTCACAACACGTGCTTCCCTCCCGAACATTTAATAAGCTTCACTCGCTGTGACAGACTCGCGTACTCGGGACGAAATTTTAATAACTTCCTCTCGTGAAATCGGTTACAATTTAAAATCGGTTACGATATATAAATTTTAAAAGTTCTCGTGGAACATCTCTTCATAATTTAATTTTCCATCTTTTTGTCATTATTAATCAGTTCTTGATATTGTGCTATTTTCTCACTTTTATTATTAATCTTTATTTTTATCTTATATTTTTTTTATTAGCGTTACATGAAATTTATATTTAGAAAATAAAGAACACTATGAAGACTAACTACATGCTATAAATTTATTCATTTATAAATAGAAATTTTACAATAAATATATATGGTTGGCTGCATAACTTAAGGCAGAAAACTGTTGTCAAAATTATCACGGTAAAAGTATTATATTGTACCTTTCCATTTACGTAAACATAGAATTGCTCTTATCTTTTTATAACTTTTTTGCATTAATTACTATTATATTATTTAAAATTTTCAATGAGCTTGTGATTAATTAATTAAATACGTGAGAAGAACGAGCAGACATTATGTAAAGACATTATGTAAAGAGTTCACAAAATAATAAAGATAAAACAAATATTTTTGCAAAAGGAACTTTCTTCGAAGAAATTTAATTTTTCTTGATAAAAATAACGATTAACGAATCGCTTTATTAAATGAAATTAAACAGAATTAAAGACTCGTCAACGTTGAAGAGTCGAAGCATCGTTAGTAATTGAGCAATATTACTTTTGTCTAAGCGGTCGCGACTTTAAACGATGCCAAAGGTCGAGGACAATATTCCTAGCTAAATTTATTATTTCGATTTGTTTGTTTCGATTTGACTCGACTTGACAGATTTAAATATTAAGTAATAATTATTTCAAAGTCCGTGAAAAAATATGAAAATGTAAATGTTGATAATAATATCAGGACTATCTAGCTTTTAATTAAAAAAATCACAGAGATACGATCTTGGTTCGAGCATTTATTAATTTTATATATTATCGATAAACTTTTCCATCCACTTATAAAGATACATTCACTGCCATAATGAACTTTAAAATGTAAAATAATTCTGCCGGTTATATAAGATTACAGAATGATGGATGTGTATACGCATGCTGAGCACGAATCTTGCACGGCCAGTTGACTCTATTCTTTTTAAAAGTTCTGTCGTGAAAAATATGAGGGAGGAAAGGAGAGAAACATTTATATAACACTTTATAAAATTAAAGTCCACAAAAAATATCTAAAATAACTGTGTTAATAACATTATAATAATTATTAGTTATTAGATTATCGCTTTGTTAAAATATTAATTAAAATTTAATATTTTAAATTAAAATTAATATTTTGATAAAATTTGAAAAAATGTACGTATTATGTTTTATCGCATCACATTTTGTGTGTTTCCAATAAATTTTAATTTAAGGTATTTTAACCTCAATTTTATGAGATATTTTATGAAGAATTTTATTTGAACAAGATTTAGATAGATTAGATATTTATTAGCTTTATGATATTTACACGGCACGTTTTACCCATAACGATTTTATGCGATTTTATTTTATTTTATTTTGTTAATATAGATTAATCTTTTGTTTGTTATAAATTACGCGTTCTAGTTTCACGCTTTTTGAATAAACGGATTGGAAGTCTTATCTTTGCACTTTCTTGCAAAATATGGTTTTAATAATTCGTCAGTAGGAAAATTATCACGTTTCATTTTTTAAGCTAACACCGTCTTTTTAGAACCATTTTTGAGTTTGACTTATTTTATTATCTTGAATAATTATTTTAAATATTAATGTAAAATAGATTGAAAAAAATTACTTACGATGAACCAAGAAAGAAAGAATGCATTGCGCACGTTAGTGTTATGACACGCTATGACACGTTATGTCATGCTGTTTTTGTAATGAAAACATCCAAATGATAAGTTTCTTAGTATGCATGTCAGACACGAATTCATCATAATATTATGATATTATAATTTTACGTGGAATTTAAAGCGCTCTTTGAAACAAAGGTATAATCGTACGCTTTAGAGACTCGTATAGGTGGTTACAATATGAAAGTGTGTAATTTACAGATTTAATATGAAAGTGAAAGTGCTAAGTTACTCAGATGATAGTTGTACGCAGTATCAGCGCGTTAAGGATTCCAGATACGAGGCCGATAACCGGAGTCAGATTGGCGAACAAAGCGAACGTTCCATATAGCCAGGCAGTTTGACGAGGATAGCGAGATCTTTCGTTTTCATAAATCATAATTCAATTTCACTCGGGCAAAATGATCTTGGGAAATCTTACCGTTCGCCGTAACATCCATCTTGGCGTCGTGCGAAGATTAACAGTAAACTCGCTCGTGACTTTTCTCGGTAGTCTTCGGCAAGTCTTTCTCTTTTCTCTCGCGAGATAGATGTACACACTGTCTCGAGGAGCTGCAGTTTTGCAACTTCTCACTGTAGACTGCGAGAGACCACTTAGTCAGATTCTACGAGACCCCCGGTGGGGGTATTTGGTAAAAAAAAAAAAAAATTACACTAAGATCCCACAAGAATATCTATTTCCCATCAACTCGCCAAAATTCGGGATACACACAAAGTTGTCGATCTCACGATCTACCTCTACCTCGTATTAAGACAACCGAATCTCCGTCCACGTTACGTCCGTGTTACGTTACTTCTCGTGTTTCGAAATCGAGAAAGCCGAATTAATTGCCGAATTAATTACCGAGGTGCGGACTCTCAGAAGTAATCGAAGGGAATCAGGGGATTCCCGTGCATCGCGCCGAATTCGACATTCGATTCGCGGCGCGGAGAGATCCCCGATCTCTCCTCGATCCCTCGATCGCGATCTCGCGGTCGCGCGATCGAGAAAGCGACGACGATACGGCGACGGCGTATCGGACGACACTGCGCTCTCGTCGATACACCACGCTGCCGATCGCTCTCTTTCCGCCAGTAACAAACAGTAAGTGCTACCGCCACCATCGGCCAAAAGTCGCCTTCTCTTATCGTTTCCAAGACGTTTACGCCCGTCAGGCGATTCGTCAACGATCTCAGATCGACGGCTTGATAGCGAGCCGAGATGCGAGAGGGAATCGCGCTTCGCCGAATTTCTTCGCGATCGCAGATCAATATCGACCCGTTACGCGCACATCGCGATCACGTGATTGTGAAGATAGTTTCATTCATAGTAATTGTCTGAACGATAAAATTTAAAAAAAACGTTTGTGATTCCGACTTAGATTCGGCATCGGAATGGAGAATTTATATCTTTGAAGATACTTAAGATATTTATTATGAAACTTTGATCATAATTCGATTGTATTATCTTCATTAATGTTCTCAATGTAGATTAGGCAATCTCTGTATCCAAGTACAACTTCTTCCAATAAAGTCTTTCTTTATCGAATTTCTCGTAAAGATTTTTTTTAAGTCTTATCTTGTTTAAATACTTCAGCAATCCTGAAAAGTAATTTTTTTTTAAATATTAGTTTCTACAAATATAGATAAAACGTTTCGAGACAGCGAGGAAGATTTCTATAGAAATAAGAAAATAAATAAAAATTAATTTTGGTGAAAATAAACAATATAAATAATTGCAAAAAATAAAAAAGTTTGTATTAAATGAAAAGATTTCGCCTTTTTAAAGATAACGTCACGTAGCGCAATAACATTGATAACTATTTTTTGTAGAAAGGGAAAGTGAAGAATATGTATACATACACGCATATGAGGGAAGAATTTTTCGAGACTTTTCGAGAAGACTAAAATGTTGACCATAATGGTCTTTATTTTCTAAAGAGAATAATACAATGTACACGTCGTAAAATTCGACGTCATAACAAGATTGATATACAGACTCGAGAGTATTATTCATATAAGTTTATCGAGATATAAATCTCATTAAAGCGTCACTTTGCTTAAAATCAAGTGAACGCCTCGAGAGATTGTCATGCAGCTATTTAAATAATTAATTAACATAATAACAATTAAATATATATTAGAATTTTTTCTCCCATCCCAATCTCTTTCTACCCTCTCACACACGCTCTTGCGATTTTTCTTTCTCATCTTTAATAGCAACGGAATTGATTTTTTTAAAATAACAGTTTCACAACAGATTCACAATTATTTTTTTAATTCGCATGTTATTTTGCGATGGTTTTTACGATAAGCTACAGAAACAGAAGAAATCCTTCTCATTTTTCTATAAAAACAATTATCGTATAAAAGTGCAAAAATTATTACATGTAAAAATTTTGTAAAAAATAATTATCAATAAATATGTCATCAACCATTAATATCTCACAATCCAATTATTATTACGTAAATAAATACATAGAATCGAAATCAGATAGCAGACTAGGTATCCCAATTGTTCGCTTATCATCAAAGTATCTGTACATGCGTTTTCTGCGAATCTCAATCGACTACTGCGAGTTTTGCGAGCGTGGCAAACGAAAGCGACACTCGTGCGATGATGAATTCCGCTTCGAAAAGGGCTTAGAAGTTCTTCTTCTTCTCCTTACCTACCAGGATGTTATCGTGATAACTGATCTCTTGTCCGGCGACGGCCGGATGCAGATAATGCGGCTCTACGTCGATTTTCTCTTTCACATCCGAGTCTAAGACCAGAGAGTGATGCGGTCCGCGATGAAGGTGCTGCTGCTGCTGCTGCTGCTGCTGCTGCTGCTGCTGTTGCTGATGCTGATGCTGATGCTCGTGCTGGTGCTGATGATGATGCTCGTGTTGGCCCTCCTCGTCCTCCTGGTTGTACTTCTTGATCATCTCGTTCAGCTTCTCCAAATCAACCTCCTCCTCAGACTTGGAGAACAACTCCTTCATGCGAGACTCGTCCAATTTTTGTGAGTTCTTCAATTTCTTGACGAGTTGGAACCGCTCGTTGGTCTGCGATCCGTCTCGCGTCGTGTTCTTGGAGGCGTTTAAGTTCGGGTCCAGCAGTAAATCAGGCGTCTCGTGCGCCACATTCACATTCTTGTCCAAGTTCTCCTCGGTTAGAGATTGCAGCAGGGTATTGTAGTCCGGCTTAATCTTCGAGGTTTCCATGCAGGAGCTACAGGAACAATTTGTGATAATCTGGACTTTCTTTTGCATGGTCACCGGATTGTTCTGCTCGTCCTTGCAGTCCAGCGTAACCTGAGAATAGGAATAGCGAGTTCGATAAGAATATATGTATTAGCATAATCAAAAACTTTTGAAAATAATTTAAAATATATTCTTAAAATTACTGATTTTTGCGCTTATTTAATAATTTATTATTAAATTTATAATATGAGAAATTATAAAAGGCAAAAAAGAGCGAAAAAAGCTACGCTATAAATTGCATACGATTGCATATTTGTGAAAAATGCGATTACACGATAAAATGCAACTTAGTTACGACTTAATCAATCAGTCTTATCAAATGCATAAAGGCCATTAAAAGATAACGATAAAAGATAACGAGATAACAAAGAGATGATAAATGTGAAATACATATTTTTAATCTTCATGAGATTTTTATATATACGGATTATAATCGGAAGACAAGAAAGACACAACATGACATTTTAACTTCAAAAAAAGATAAAACTGATTGTCAGTTGTTGTTTTAAAACAGATTAAGTTTTAAAAGAATTGGGATCTTTGTACATATTTAATGACTCACAGTGTGCCAAACGCTGTCCAGGGGTTGACAGGAGTCGCAATAGGGTCTTATAAGATCACCGGGTGCCGATGGTTCGCTATGAGGGACCATGTATGAGAAACAAGCGCCGACGCATACATTATTGTCCAATTCTTGCGAAGAACACTGGGGCCACGTCACTACTTGCTTTATAGGCGTTGTCTTGCACCAGCTGTGCTTATCGGGATACAACACGATGTTGTGAACCTAATAAAATTTTTTATATTTTTCATCAGCCTAAGCTCTAATATTCAAGAAAAAATATTAGATTAACTAATGCAAAATATTACTTTATTTTTAGAAATTCTAATCAAGAGGGAAATGTTTGAGATGGATTAAACAGCTTTAGAATAATGTTTTGCAAACCTTATGTTCACGATGAGCATTAAGCAGAGCAGAATGCATCATTAACAAGAACGTCATCATTGACTGCCGCCATATCGTCCCCATGATTTCTGAGACAGCACCGAAGAACCGATGATATCTGAACTTTTTAGTTAAACAAGTAAAATAATTTAGATATTGAGAATATCTCAATGTTATTTTCTTACAATTGAAAATAAGGGATTCATGTGATTATTATTATAATTATTATTACAATATTGTTTTTCAACATCAAAGTATTATCTCGATAAATGTACGGCAAGGAAAAGAAAAAATAAAGTGTCGAGCTTTAAATATTAATTTTAATCTCTTCTACAAAATAAACTGTTATAATTTGCAACATGTTCGATCTTGAAAAAAAGTTGTGATTATTTTTTCGAATAAATGATAGTCGCGTGCGATGTCATCTGAAGCCATTGAGATAGCGTGCCATATAGCTCGCACTTTCGAGTTCAACAACCGGTTAGAATTGCATCACAGGATCAGTACACTGCGTCATGTTTGTATCTTCTTACCTTCGCACTCGCACAATATTTATAAACTTTATAAATCATATACACCGACGATGAGAGATACATATAGATCTTAAAGAGGCGTCGAGAGACATTTAACTACTGGTTTCTCGAAATAATTGTAAAATATACAGATATGACGCAAAAGATAGCATCGGAAATAAATTACTTCCACTACCGAGAAGTTAATTAGTTGGCTCGCGTGCGACCTCCAAGTATCCGTAAAAAGACGCGTTGAAAGTTACGGTCCGCTCGTTTCGGCGCCAAAACGAAGGAACGGGTTCTCGTTATTAGGTGATGGCGCGCCGCGCTTCATTCATAGATCGTTAAGGCCGATCCCCCGATCTCAATGTGGGATCATGCTCGAATTTTAATTTTCCGAGATTTCCGAGATAAAAGGAGTTCGTGTTTCCTTGAAGCCTGACGCATAGACAAGGGAATCCGTCGTGAATGTCCCCGCCATAAATAGCGGCGGATTTAAGGCACCAGCCATGGGAACGCGATGCACTTCTTCCGGCGATGTAAATATTTTCAAAGTCGGGGGATATGTGGCGCCCGAGAGATAAAAGATAAAAGAACCTGCCCCCTATAACAAAACAAAAACGAGGAGAATCAAGATTTCGCAAATAAAAAGTTTGACGACATAAAAATGAAGTAAAAAGATGTTTGCTACATATAGCTTCCAAATTTTATTTTTTTCAAACTGATTTGAACATAAAAAGTTACATAAATAAAAAAACAAATAAAAATAATAATAAAATTTAAAATAAATATACATATTAAATATATAAATTTTTATCTTATCTAATATCAAAGAGATTCTAATGTCAAAGAGATATATTAAATACACCTGTTATGAGCGTTTATCAAGAATTAAATCTTCTGCAAACCAACCGCAGCGACATCGATATCAATGTCGAACTAGGAGGACGCGGTTCCAATTACGCGAATCCCGTTGTTTTTTCGGCTGCACCAAAAAAAAAAAAGAAGCATCGAAATCGGGAGATCTCGCGACGTTGCATAGGTACACTTGTGCCGTCCTTCGGAAAGATTCGTCGAGGATGAGATCCTCGCGAGCTGAATTCCTGACAACGGCAAGAATCTTGTCCCTCGCCGGACAATTGGTCGCCGGCATTTCCAGAGAGAGGATCGATTTTTCGTCTCTCCCGCCGTTTTACCCACGATGCGATTTCGATTTCGACCCCTGCCCCTCCTGCGCTTCTCTTTTCGTCGCCTCATTTTCTGCTCATTCTCCTCCGTCTTCTTTTCTTTCAATTCCACGACTTCTGCTATACCCATCCAACCCTACAAACGCGTATCGGTTCAGAAGAAACGATCTTTTTCTTCGCTTCGCAACGCAACCCTTCGTCCTTCCTTTATTCTCACGCAGAATCTTTTCGATCTTCTGTTTTTTATTTCAAATTCTAAGAACTATGGTGCAGTCAGGGCTGCAGACCGATTTCGTAAATCTGAGAGAAATCGGCGAAATAAAATGTCAAAAACAATACAGCATGCAAAAATGGAGAACAGCAAGTTGCTTTTTCAATATTCCTTTATAATTAAGGATATATAATTTTATTTAAAAATGCTCTTTCTCTCTCTCGTTCTCTCTCGATGATATTGTTGTTATTTATCGTATCGCGAAGATAAATCTTATTCTTACTTGGGAACTTGTTTACAAGATGCAACTTGAGAAAGAAACGAATCACGAAGAAACGTATCACGTTTCAAAAATTAGGTCTCTTGAGTAATTCTTGTTGAATCACCCTGTACGCTCCGAGACCGCGAAGGTGTAGGGCAACACGGCGCGGCCGCCCGTCTCATTTCTACAAGCGGAGATTTGAATGACCGAATAGGATGCAGCAGGGACGTACCCGAGCAAGATTCGACAACTAGCGACAATGATCATCAATATTTGCGAGATCCATCATTTTGCGAAACTACATAGCTCGTCGATATTTTAGATATATAATAAAAAGAAAATTATATTTTTAAAATGAATATATGAAAAATATAAATTTATATGCTTAAATTGATATTGCATCAACGTAAAATTAATTTCCTAATGTTTTTAGTAAAATTAAATTTGAATGTTATTTCTTATAGAATATTTAACTTTGTTATATAACTTAGTTATTCTTACGCTTCCACTAATATATTTCTCAGATAATTATATTAGTATAATTAATCAATTTAAGTATTTATCTCTTTATATTTGTCTAAATAGATCAATGTGTTGGCAACTTAAAAAGTTTACATATTGAAAATCCAATTACATAAATTACATTTAATCAATATTATTCAACAATTAATCAGAATTTTTTCTGTCCCTTCCTTCTCTTTTAAATTTGCATATTACAACATATTGTATTTACATGTTGTGTTACAACACCGTTCGAACGTATAGCTATACACTTGATGTTTCATATTCCGCAACACGGATAGAGCGGCTACGGCCCTGCGATAGCCGCAGCCAGAAGTCCAAAGCTCTTTGTTGCTGCGCCACCTTCTCTTCTCGCCTCTGGGTCCGTGTCGGTGGCACGGAGGACCTCCGGCCCACCTCCTTCTTTGCCTCCATCTCGGTCCCGTGCCTTCGATTTGCTCGTGTCCTCGAGATACCAAGAGAAGCCGAAGAGAGAAAGAGAGACGCGCAATGGGAAGGAGTGAGAGAGCAGTAGGATCAAAGCGAAGAGAGAAAGATGAGGCAAGAGAGAGTAAGTCCTGCGCCCAACCGCGAGATTAATTTGATTTTCAAGCAAATTTGACGCGCCCCCGAGCCTAGGCGGTACCGGCACAAAGAATGCCGCGGCTGTCCGCCCATGTGTGTGCCTCGTCGAAATCCCCGACGGTTTTCCATCGATCCTTCCGTTGATCCTTCTTCATCCATCCTCCGTCGACAGCGCATCGCTCGACGCGACGGCGCGTTCGTTATAAAGGCGCGATGCGTATCACAGGCGTTTTAGCGTTAGATCACGAGAAAATATCAAGACAACGTGATGGTTAACTGTACATATCGATGACGTCAGCTACGAGGAAGCCAATACGATTTCTTCGATTATGTCTCCACGTACGTTTTACGATGGTAAAAAGTTTTAATAAAGATAAAAAAAATCGTGATACTTATTTTGTTGTTTCTTACTTTGATAATTACGTAAAAATTAAATTAAAGAGAAATAGTAGAAATAGTAGAAATATAATATATTATTATAAAAATAATACAATATTTTTATTTTTTAACGTAATATTTTTTAAAACTGTATCATGCAACTTCGCGTTGCAATATTAATGTAGTAAGAAACGAAAAAGAGAAAATTAAATTAAAAGATAAAAAAAGATTTTATCTATCAGCAGAAGATATTCGATGAACGATCATGTATTTCTCGCGCATCGATCGAGACCATACTAGTTTCCTCTCCCTGCAATTTCCTCCCCACGTAACTCGACCACCATCGCCAGCATTCTCTCGTCGACAACTGGAAGTCTCGCGAGATCGCGAGATCGATTATTCGCGAGTGAGCACCGTAATCGCGCAGTCGCGCCATTTTTCTCGTAGTAAAATCGTCTTGTGGATGAAAATAATATTATTCTCTCCTCCCCTAGTGCCAATCCGCGTACACACCGATCATCCTCCGGTTCGTGTCTAACAAAATGTGCCGGGACAGAGGGATCCGATCGTCCCAAAGTTCAATCTCCCGAACTTAATGATCCGGTACACGGCCGAGCGATCCGGAGATGACGGCGAGTGATATATCTATAATTAGGTGTCTCGGGCTTTAATCTCCCATTAGTTTTAATGAAAATCTCCACCCCCCGTTTTGACATACCCTAATTTCACATTTCGCTGGGACGCCGGCACGGCCCGGCGTTTTTCTTCTTCTTTCCTTCCTATTTTTCTTCTTCTTTTTTATTCTTCGGGATATATCGGGGGGGGTACCGTGGACGAACTAATAGATGGCCCGGAGGTACGGGGTGAGCTTGGAAGATAGAGAAGGAGTAAGGAAATAAAAGAGAGGAGTTGGTTGCGCGAGGGTGCGGATCGCGCGAGAATACCCGAAGGAGAAAGAGAGAGAGAGAGAGAGAGAGAGAGAGAGAGAGAGAGAGAGAGAGAGAGAGAGAGAGAGAGAGAGAGAGAGAGAGAGGAGGAGAGAGA